GCGGTCCGGAGGAGGCGGCGGGGGCCCAGGCAGCCGTGGGCGCTCGCTCACAGGACGCCGGAAGGGGGCTCTGGGTCTCGGCCCCTCCCCTTTTCCCCTGGGGCCGGAGCACCCGGGCTCTCTAACCCTTCTCTCCCCAGGTGCCGGCCGTGGCCGCAGGGCGCCTCTCTCCTCCCCGCAGCCCGCCATGGGCAATGCGTTCAACGAGTCCCGCGCCGAGGACTGCGAGAGCCGCCGGTGGCTCCCCTCGGGCGAAAGCCCGGCCATCAGCTCGGTGATGTTCTCGGCCGGGGTGCTGGGCAACCTCATCGCGCTGGCTCTGCTGGCGCGCCGCTGGCGGGGGGACGCGGGGCGCAGCGCCGCCCGGGGAAGTCCCATCTCCTTGTTCCACGTGCTGGTGACCGAGCTGGTGTTCACCGACCTGCTGGGGACCTGCCTCATCAGCCCCGTGGTGCTGGCGTCCTACGCGCGGAACCAGACCCTGGTGGCGCTGGCGCCCGAGAGCCGCGCCTGCACCTACTTCGCCTTCGCGATGACCTTCTTCAGCCTGGCCACCATGCTCATGCTCTTCGCCATGGCCCTGGAGCGCTACCTGGCCATCGGCCACCCCTACTTCTACCAGCGCCGCGTCACGCGCCGCGGGGGCCTGGCCGTGCTGCCCGCCATCTACGCCGTCTCGCTGCTCTTCTGCTCCTTGCCGCTTCTCGACTACGGGCAGTACGTCCAGTACTGCCCGGGGACGTGGTGCTTCATCCGGCACGGGCGGACCGCGTACCTGCAGCTCTACGCCACCCTGCTCCTGCTGCTCATCGTCGCCGTGCTGGCCTGCAACTTCAGTGTCATCCGCAATCTGGTCCGCTTGCACCGCCGGGGCAGGAGAAGCCGCTGCGGACCCTCCTTGGGTAGCGGCCGGGGCGGCCCCGGGCCCCGCAGGAGAGGGGAAAGGGTGTCCGTGGCGGAGGAGACGGACCACCTCATCCTCTTGGCCATTATGACCATCACCTTCGCCATTTGCTCCTTGCCTTTCACAGTAAGTCACTCTGGCTCCACAGCCCAGCTGGGCGCAGCCTTCTGACACCCTCCCCTCCCCTTGGACCCCCACTCTTTCTACTGTCATCCAGACTTTCTGCAGCTCGTAAGAGAATGTCCTAATGTGTAAAGGTCTGTAGCCATGCGGGGCTTCTTCACTACCTATTCTTAACTTCACTTCTGTCTTTCCCTAACCCCCACCTAAGGGTGTCCCTCTGCTAGTGTTTTGCAGGAAGGCAGTCCCGGTGAAAAGGAGCCTTTGCTCTCTCCTAAACCAACCCTGCCAACCACCCTAGAGTCCCAAGCCTCTGTACAGTGTCCCTTTCCCACTCTTGGCTAGCCTGGCTCAGTGCCTGAGAAGGAGGCCCAAGACCCTTGCATGTATATGTGATGCTCTTTGTTACACCGACTTACCCTGAGGGGCAGTTTACATTCCTTTACCTTCTACCCACTGAGACTAAGTTCTCTGTGATTTGCCTTCTGTTTCTTCTGGGGTTAAATGTCCCCAGCCCACTGCTGACCTACTGTCAAAGGGAATGGTCCCCTGTGATAAAGGCCCCTTTTGCAAAAGTTCTGGCAATTAATTATTTATTCTAAAAGTGCAACAAATACCTAACTTACAGCGTCCCCCTTTACATATTGGCTGTGTGCCTCTTTGATGCCATGAAAATTCACAACATGCTCATAATGATAATGAGAGGGAAAGGGAATTGTCCCAGAGACATCTCCTCCGGATAAGGCATTTGTATCTGCTTACAAAAGGTGGTCTTGACCTCACTGTCAGAAATAGATATACAGGTGTTCTTTCTCATGTAGTCTTGTACTGTGTAAACATGACATAAAACCACGCCCAGGTCCTTGTCCGGGATGGGAGAAGTGGACATGTGTGGGGCTTGCCATGACCTCGCAGGCCAAAAGGCTGCCAGGGGAACCCAAGGGGCAACCCAACCAAGTAGTGGGATGCGGGCTGTCTGGGTCTGGCACAGAAGTTACTTCTGTGATGCTGTACATTTGAACTTTCTAAGGCATAACCCTGGAACAATAATGGGTTATGAGTTGGGTTGTTAACCATAAGGTCAGGAGTTCAAGCTCACCAGCCACTCGGAGGGAGAAAGATGAGGCTTTCTGCTCCCGTAAAGATTTGCTACCTCAGAAACCCACAGGCGCAGTTCTTCTCCATCCCTAGGGCTGCTTTAAGTCAGAATTGACGTGATGACAGTAGGGAGGTTGTGTTTGTGTTTTAAAGGCTTACTCAGGAGGAACCCGGTGGTGTGGCGGGCTATTCCGTTGGGCCGCTAACTGCAAGGCCAGCATTGTGACTCCACTAGCCTCTGCCAGAAGACGGCGAGGCTTCCTTTCTGCTCTCATGAAGATTTACAGTTTCAGACACCCACTCTGAAGCAGAATGAACGCAATGGCACTGAGTTGTTGGCGGTGAAGGCAGGGCTTGAGCAGTGGAGCCTGGAATGTGTCTGAGCATGCGCTTGCCGCTCCGGGATTTTGGCAACCACTTCCTGATCTTCAGAAAAACAAGACTGACCCACTTCAGCGCATAAGTAGTTAGCAGTGCCTCCCAACTGCCACAACCGTGAAGACAAGGAAGAAAGAGAAGGTGCCTCACATCAGCAGGTCAGACAGGCAGAAACTAGAGATGTAACTTTATCTGGCCTCCCTTACAGCTCTGGTTACTTCATTCAACCATCCTACGGCCGGGAAAGGAACACAGGATGCTAAGATCCTAGATGTGACCTTCTGCCCCTCCTGTCCTCCCCTCTGTCGCAGCCCCCTACAATGAACTCACTATCTTAGTTCTTATATCCTCGGTCCCCACTGTTCTCACACTTCTCCCCCATCCTCTGTCACATCTTAAGTTGGTCTGAATCGGTGTGTTGCCCATTGGGAAGAATGAGGAACCCTGGTGGCATGGTGGCGACATGTTGGGCGGCTAATTACATGGCCAGCAGTTTGAAATCAGCACCTGCTCCGTGGGAAAAAGAGAGGGGTTTCTACTCCCCTAAAGAATTACAGCCTCAGAAACTCACAAGGGCTTTTCTCCCCTGTCCGGTAGGGTCACTGTGAGTCAACATCAACTTGATGCTGGCTGTTAGTGGGAGAGTGGGATAAGGCATGTAAAGACCTACAACTGAGGAGACGGCAACTCCCATCCTGCCTTGAGCAGAGGAGCTTGTGCAGCTGCGTAACCTGGCCTCTGCTTCCTACTTGTGCTGGTCAAAAAAACCCCAAACCCCTCTCTGCCACCCATTCGATTCTAACTCATGGCAACCCCATAGGACACAGTAGATCCGCCTTTGTGGCTTTCTGAGATTGTAACTCTTCACAGGAGTAAATGACCTCCTCTTTCTCCTCCGAGCGTGGACTTACATCCCAGTGCTTAACCCGATATACCATGTGGGGTTTCCAGGAGTCCGAGTGGACTTGGGAGCCGCTGACCACACCAGCACGGACTAACTCAGTTTGAGGGCTTATCATGTAACTAGAATGCAGAACATCCATCTATAAGATGACCTATTTCAAGTTCTACTTAACAACTTCGTGTTCTGCTTGGAGGAGAGAAACCATTTCTGAATTGGAGGGTATCTGTCTTGGACAAGCAGGCATTCGAATGTCAGTTCCTGGACGTTCTCTGTGATGCGTCTGTCAATAAAAACACCCGCTACCCACAGCATCTCAGACGCTTTAGGGAGAGACTCCGAAGTGACCGCGCAGTGGTGAAACGTTTTTTGCCTCCTTTTCCCAAGAGGAGCGGAGGGGCACACATATCTCCTCGCGGACCCTGACGGGACCACTGTGTAAACTGTTTTTACAAACCCAAAGTCGCCAGCCCAGGGCTGTCAAGTCGGTTCCCACCAGCACAGAGCAGAACTGCTGTGCAGCCTCATGGAGGCGGACGCATCTTTCTTTCTCCACACGAACTCACTACACTGCCAGGGCTTCTTATTTTCATAAAGGTAACGGTTTTCAACAGAAATGTGTGTCCACAGAAATGGGCCTTTGGTCGAGAGAACTCTGTCATTGCTACATGGGGCTGTTACTTTCAAGTCTGCTTATGGCTCTTTTTTTGCCCTTTGAAATTAGCTCAGTGACCATTCGGGAGTTGTCAAGGGGAAGGGCTCTGGGGAGCTAGACATCTGAGAGACAGGGTGGAGACGCAGGGGCTTTGCTTTGAAGCGGTTTTCATGTGGATTGCCTATCTCAGGCTGGAGGAACCGTGGTGGCACCATGGTGAAGTGTGTGGCTGCTAAAATGAGTTGAGCCCACTGGCCACTCCAGGGAAGAAAAGAACGAGCGGTCTGCCCCTGCAAAGAACACGCCCTGGGAAGCCAGCTCTACTCTGCCCTATAGAGACACGCAGGCACCCGGTGGCTCTGTGAGCTAGGCATTGGCCTGCTGACCTGAAGGTCAGTCATTCAAGCCCACCAGCCATTCCTCAGGAGAAAGATGAAGCTGTCTGTTCCCATAAAGATTTGTCATCCCAGGAACCCCAGAGCGGGTTGCTATGAGTCAGGATGAACTCCGTGGCTGTGGATTTGCTTTACAGGGTCATTGTGAGTAGGAATCAACTTGACAGCAACAACAACAGCTTACGACAATGGCTTAGGAGAGCCTAGTGAAGGTGATCAGGGTCTGGTATTTACATTAGTAAATATAAGCAATGTTCACTTCTGCATGTAAGTAGGGCCAAGTTCCTCAGACAAGGATCAGGAGAAAAAATCTTTGCATGCACATGACTTAAAAGCCAGCTGACCTGAGATCTAGCATTGGGGCTCACAGAACACCCTCTCCAGATGAACTATAGGTACATTTAACCAATAGACATACAGCAGAGAGTGAACTATCCCCCTAAATGGGAACTGCCAGATCACCTCTTACATGGACCATTGACTAATTTTATTTCACCAATAAATTATTATCAGTAATTATTGTCTCACGTTCACGTAGCACCGTAAACCTTATAAACCCAAACCAAACTCTTCCCTTGAGTAAATACCAACTCAGAGCAACTCCGTGTGGGTTTCTGAGGGTGTAGCTCTTTACGGGAGGAGGAAGCCCATCGGCTCTCTCTCATGAAGTGGCTGCTGGTTTCCAGCTGCCGGCCTTGAGGACCACAGCCCGGCCCATCACCACCACACCACTGTGGCTTCTCCAAACCGGAGGAAGTGCCACGATTCCTATTTCTTTCTTCAGGGCCTTATCCAGCAGTTGAAAACTATTGGCTATTATTGGGTTCTTGCATTCTGCTATTTCAAAAAGCTTGGTCTGTAGCCCCTAGAGGGTGCTTTCTTGATGATTCTGGGTCGGAAGTAGCCTACACCACCACCCCCTCCAACCCTGGCCACACCCAGTCCAGGCATCATTTCCACATGTCCTATTTGGGATGGTGGGGGCACTGGTAGATGAGGCAGAGGCTCATGGTTGCCTTCAGAAATGCTGCCCCTCTACAGAGGACAGTCCACATATGGAAGCCAAGCTAAAAGAGATGTCAATAAAATTAAGTTTAATTATATCACATAATTCAATGTCACATAAATATTAATTTATTTTTCCAACTAAGTTTGCTCCTTGTGTCCCAGATTTTACTAGCAACCCGCCCTATCTCAGCCTCATTCCTTCCTCAGGATAACACCGCTGTAGCCAATGGGATACCACTAGTGAAGGGAAGAAGGGAGCAGGGCATACTGGAAATCTCATCACGGTTTGCAGAAATGCTAGTGGCAGCCATCGTCCCAACGTGTGGGCACAGTGATTGTTTCCACGAACAGTGCCAAGCAAGGACTTCCAATGTTTAGAAAGTGAAGCTGCCAAGTGTGACTTGCCCAGCATCCCGTCCCAAAGTCACGTTCACCCTCAGATTTCATGACTGCCATCATCACCATGGCTAACTGCTTGTAGTGCTAAGTGTTGCATGACTCCTGATCGGCACAAGCCGGTGCGGTAGGTAGCAGTAGCATTCCAACTTTACAGCTGAGACAACACACTTGC